CTAGAGTACAATACGTTCACCGTGTGCACTCAAAAAGAACCCACTCATCCGACGGCAGGTCACCGGATGGTGGAAACACGACTACATACATACACCCGAAACACAAGTGTTAAAACGTGGAGTGTGACCCTGGGTAAGTGACTTAGTTCAAATATGCCTCTGTTCACCAAGCCCCTCCTCCCCGATGTGTGGGGTGCATGACAAATCCATCTAGCGCCCGTAGGCAGCTTGGGTTGTATAATGCTCAGGGAGTTGAGAATGATAACTGGGATGCACACGGATCCACTGGTCAGGGAACAAATAAAACCGCATTTGAGCTGATACCAGTACCTGGACACCTGCGTAATATAAATGTATTATTGTTTTTGTTGTTTTGTTTTTTTTTGTCGTTGTTGTTGTTGTTGTTGTTGTTGTTATTACTAGGTTTGTCAGCACCACACCCGTGCTCGTGGGTTTCACCGAAGTGGTAAACGTCTGAGACCTGCATCACTTCGGGCTTTCCTCTCACATTAAGCTGACACGCCGTGATATGACTGAAATTCTGTTAAAAGCGGCGTTAAAACCCAACTCAGTCATTATTATTATTATTATTGTAGTGTACCATGGTTATAACAGGTCACATTAGATTATGTGGGCTGGCATAACCTACAGTACAGGCGCCATCTAGTGTGGTGAGGGAAGTGTGATGAGGTTTTGAGACTAGTCGTAGTACCCTTTTCGCAAAGGTTTGGCCGCCCACATTCGGCTCGTGTGTCAATGGACATAACATCCGGTACTGCCTTGTCTAGCTTGTAGAACCACTGCCAAACAGTGGACTTCTAGCTGAGAATGGTGAGTGAGTGAATGTATTAATGTTGTTTCACATCCGCCTGTAAATAGTCGATACAGTACAACCAGAGGCTAATAGCACGAGCACTGATCATGCATGACACACAGTCAACCAGGTCGAACATTGAACAAATAAGACAATACTTTATACTGTGCTCATTCTATTTATCAGGGTCTTTTATATTTTAAAGGGGTTGTCAGCACCATACCTGTACTCGTGGGTTTCACTGAAGTGGTAAACGTCTGAGACCTGCATCACCTCGGGCTTTCCTCCCACATTAAGCTGACACGCCGTCATATAACTGGAATACTGTTAAAAGCGGCGTTAAACCCAACTCACCCACTCACTCACTATATTTTAAAGGAAGCCAAATCTGGATGTACGGGTGTATATTGCTTAAACAAACATGATGGGCATTATCCCTTGGCCAGCTGCTGCCGGGACAACTAGGAAGTCGTATGTGTGTAAGTCGTAAAAAGCAGTCATTTTGGGGCACTTTACTTGCCCTTTAAGCAATTAATCCCCGGTGAGTGATGGCCCTGTACACAGTGGTTATTCTTAGCGTGAATCTATTCATTAGTTAACCCAATGTATGTCCTCTACGCCTACTATTGGATGTGACCACTTATGCGATCCCTTATCCTTCAGTGCTTAGTGCACATCCCCTATTTGTTCATTCCTACGTATATACAAACACCGTTAATAAATACATGTAGTTATGATAATGTTATATTCCTTTTCAAGGTTTTGACGATCTTTACCAAATATTTTACCATTTAAACATATGTCTGGTCGACAATTGAGAGTAAGTTCCCCGAAAACGGAAATTTAAACACATTGTGGAAAAGGATCCAAGAGAAAAGCACGTGTAGTTAAGAAAGAAACCATCACCAGAGAGTCATATTGCATTTTTAAAACATTCTTACTATCGACCTATTTCAAGTTGTAAAACATAACAGGTTCGAATCAGTTCTAAAATCCTATTAGTTTTAAAACAAATATGTATCAGGCAAACTATATTGTAAATTTACAAACAAGTGAAAAACCTTTTACTTAGGATTAGATCAAGATAGTTTCTTAAATATGTTTTTAAATATTAAATTAGACATATGGACCTGATCTTGGTCTACAATGTGAGATGTTACAAAGTTTTTGTCACGGTCAAAGGAAGACAATGCAGTCGATTATTTTTTTTATTTCATGCGGTAAAGTTTGTGGTCAAAGGGAAGTAATTCAGCTTGGTAATTAGACTGTGCTCCTGTCTGGCGGAAAGCGCTAAATTTGTGGAACCAGTTTACTTGGTAATTTCCAACGGAGTTACGTCAAATGTACAAGCTCTCTTCAGGGTCTACAGGCAAACTTCAGACACTGCGTTGTGTTATCAAAGGGAAGTAATTTTGTTAGGAATAAAGTCTGTGCATTGTGCCATTCGTCACCACTCGCCCCTTTCCGTAACCTGCTTGTCCCGGAATGTGCTTTGCGCATGTTATGACGTCATTCGACCTTGTGGCAAGGGAGATAACCAGTAGTTTCTAAGCATTGTCATAACACGATTATCTCCCTTTGACCATTAACTGCATAGATGGCGCTGCTTGCTGCCGTCACAACACACAACGCTGGCGGGGTAATCTTTCAACGACGTTTATATAAACGTCTCGTGTGTTTAGTTCTGTCATGATTTATTATTCGTTATTTATGTACTTCTGTTTGAATCATGCGACGACATTTTATGTCACAAAAGCACGGAAGTATCCTAAGCGTCTGATGCCTTGTTGCACAGATCGGTCTTTCAGAATATCGTTGCGACATAGTGAAACATCAAAGCACTTAAAGGGGAAGTGTACACGCAAAAATCACTTTCTTTCTTTTTCTAAAAAAAACGCAATTTTAGAATTAGTTAGTATCTGTGTTTGAAAATAAACACTCATTTTTTTTCACACTGAAAGTAGGAAGCTCACAATAGTGTTAAAATGATATGCCGTTATGAGACCTTCGTTTTACGAGCGAAATAGGCCTGAGTTATCCCCCTTAGATTATGACGTAATTGGTGCCAATTCAACTGGGTCCCTGTCTATTCTCAACGCAAAAGATATCAAGGACCAGTTTGCGGTAAAACAACATGGTCTGTGACACACTCCGGCGCAGTGGTGACTCAGCATAACACAATTCTGGCTGGCATCTGAGACGCTAGAATCACAAAACTGTACCTACACCACGTGAAGCGGCTCTAACAAAGCATGATGACGTCATAATGTTTATCAATTGGCACCAATGACGTCATATTGCAAGGGGCATAAGCCATGGTGTTTTTGTTATGGAAATAGAACACTTGGTAAATGTGAAAAATATAAATCGTTTTAATGCAAAAAATATGTTAATTAAATATGATGTTTTTATATTTTTGTCTATGACACTTCTATGTTAACACTTTTAATGTGGAAAAAGTACAAGAAAAATTGGTTCATTTCCGTGTGAACTTGCCCTTTAACCTATTTACTCAAAACCAATCTGGCGTAAACCACATTAGGTCAAAACTTTGACGTCGCAATATATTGTTTGTAATGTAAAGAGGACATGGCGTATACTTTAGGATTTACCGATCTAAAGTTATGCAGAGGGTCCTTACTTATTTTTGTATTTCCAAAAGTGGGGCGGGCGGAAAAGGAAAAAAAGACCTTTTCAAATCTTTGACGACCAGTACCAAATGTTTGACAAAATTTGAACGTTTGTCTGGTCGACTTTTGAGAGCAAGAGGAACCCGCAAACCGAAATTGTGGGAAAGGATTTAAGGGCGGGGAGCTGTTTGGTGTTTCAGAAAATACATGGCATGAAAACCTGCGACAATGGCAATCACACAGATGGACCTCTCTATTATTTGTGAAGCTACTTTGAAACCTGCATTCCAACTTTCAACGCATACTGTCATTTACATTATACGATCTCGGTTTTCAAAACACTGTGAAACTTGATATGTTTTTCATGAAGCGCCATGCAAATACAGATATACGGCGGATATTTCAGGCGGGAGTGAGTGAGTTGGGTTTAACGCCGCTTTTAACAGAACTCCAGTTATATCGCGGCGTGTCAGCTTCATGTGGGAGGAAAGCCCGAAGTGAAGCAGGTCTCAGACGTTTACCACTTCGGTGAAACCCACGAGCACGGGTATGGTGCTGACAAACCTAGAAACATAATCGGGGCGAACCGAGATTCGAACCCACAATCATAGGTTTCTGGCGTGCCCAAGGGACGCAACTCTGCACAGCGAATCGCGGCGCCTTAGACGACTGGGCCACCCGTACCCCCATTTCAGGCGGGAGGGAAATTTGCAGGCGGCGGGAGATGAAAACACAGAAATAGGTAAGGACGCCCTTATAGCTCCACTCCAGGTAAAACTGGATTGATTTTCTTTCTTGGGGACCAAAACTACATCGAAATGAAACTCTTGCTATGATTTAGATGACATAGCTTGTCTGGAAGCAACATGTGTGATATAAACGGTGATAGGCAACAAACAAATATAGTTGTATGCAAATTGTGGGAGTGGCGGGTGCCACTACGAGACATGCTGGCCCCTTTCACCACCACCTGGTGTCATCGCTGATTTTCAGGGATCCATTCATACAATTTTCACCGCTATTTTGCCTTTTACGCACAAACACATCTGTTTCCGCAGAGACTGATTGTTCTCTGGCGTTGATGGCTTGTATTATGTTGTACGATGAAGCCGTACGCAGAATGTACTGTATTTGTATAGAAACTTCTGTCGTGTATCTTCCATCTGCCCACTTTACTTGATAAACACAATACGATGAAGCGACTGAATCGTGACTACATCAATAAAGATGTGCGTTTCAGCTGAAACAGTATGAAGTTCATTGTGATGCTTATTATAAACCCTCAGAATCGGAAGTTCATTTGTTGTTACTAGCAACGCCAAATACATCTACCATCGTTATAACGCACATGATACGTGGGCATTTCCCATAGACCTACTTGGTAAATATTCAATACTAGGGTCGAAATAATATACTTGTAAGCCTGTGCTGCTGAACAGATCCATATATATACAAGAGACACAACGTTAGCATTACACGGTGTTATAACGGGGTTAGGGGTAAAAGCGAAATTCAATACCGAATAGATCAATATATATAAAATAACCACGCGGTGTTATAGTGATCTGTCCATCAAGCTAGACAAATGTGTGTTACATGTAAATCCAAAGGTACAAATTGCGAATAGGCAACGTATCTTGCGAATTGAAGGGAAGCGATTTGGGAAAGGATTGCACAAGGCTTACCGATGGAGAAAAGACACGGTGTCGTGAGAGGTTAATTACGGGAATATGATTAAAGCATCAGATGGAATCATGAACTGAGACGCTGAATGATGGAGGTCAGTGGCGGCGGGGTGCTGTGTGACACAGTTAAGAGAAGCAGAGTAACTATTGTATGTTTATATGATCTGTGATAGTCACGTGTACCTTGTGGAGGTGTCATCCACGATACTGCCCTGTGCCTTGTGGAGGTGTCATCCACGATACTGCCCTGTGCCTTGTGGAGGTGTCATCCACGACACTGCTGTGTACCTTGTGGGGGTTTGATCTGTGACACTGCCTTGTACCTTGTGGGGGTTTGATCTGCGACGCTGCTGTGTACCTTGTAAAGGTTTGATCTGTGACACTGCTGTGTACCTTATGGAAGTTTGATCTGCGATACTGCTGTGTGCCCTGTGGAGGTTTGATCTGTGACACTGCTGTGTACCTTGTGGAGGATTGATCTGTGACACTGTCTTGCACCTTGTGGAGGTTTGATCTGTGACACTGCTGTGTGTCCTGTGGAGGTTTGATCTGCGACACTGCCTTGTACCTTGGGTTTTTTATCTGTGACACTGTTGTGTGCCCTGTCGAGGTTTGATCTGCGACACTGCCTTGTACCTTGTGGAGGTTTGATCTGTGACACTGCCTTGTACCTTGTGGAGGTTTGATCTGTGACACTACCTTGTACCTTGTGGAGGTTTGATCTGTGACACTGCTGTGTACCTTGTGGAGGTTTGATCTGTTACACTGCTGTGTACCTTGTGGAGGTTTGATCTGCGACACTGCCTTGTACCTTGTGGAGGTTTGATCTGTGACACTGCCTTGTACCGTGTGGAGGTTTGATCTGTGACACTGCTGTGTACCTTGTGGAGGTTTGATCTGTGACACTGCCTTGTACCTTGTGGAGGTTTGATCTGTGACACTGCCTTGTTCCTTGTGGAGGTTTGATCTGTGACACTGCCTTGTACCTTGTGGAGGTTTAATCTGTGACACTGCCTTGTACCTTGTGGAGGTTCGATCTGCGACACTGCTGTGTACCTTGTGGAGGTTTCATCTGTGACACTGCTGTGTACCTTGTGGAGGTTTCATCTGTGACACTGCTGTGTACCTTGTGGAGGTTTCATCTGTGACACTGCTGTGTACCTTGTGGAGGTTTCATCTGTGACACTGCCTTGTACCGTGTGGAGGTTTGATCTGTGACACTGCCTTGTACCTTGTGGAGGTTTCATCTGCGACATTCGTTATTGCTTTTCTGATTGTTGTTTTTGTTTTTCTTTCGTAATGACGGGAAGTTTGTCTTTTTACACGATCGCCTATTGATGAAAGATTATCTTATATCAACATGGAGGATCGACTATTTCAATTCGATCGCGAAATCAAAAGAATGCCCTTTGCATACAAACATTAGTTACTGACTTCTTACCGACTTGAAATTTAAATAAAAATGTAGGAGGAGAATTCAAAGATGATTCCAACCAAAGAACCATATCACCCATAAAATAAAGTTGTTAAACATGTGAAACCGAAAGAACTGAAATTTAAACAACTCATGTTTCCTGTGCTGCAATTGTAAGCCATGTCTTCTCAGGCAGCACCAAAATCAAAACCGGCTTCAAAACCAAAAGGAGGCACTGTGAAAAAGAGGCCAGTGTTTGTGGGGAGAAGGGGGGCAGGGGGGCCTCCAGGCTCCAAGCCGTTGAGTATAGCCGTGACAGCTGTGATCGGACTCGGGTTCGTTGGTGGCGGTATTGGCATGATTGTCTATAGCGACCACAACAATACAACAACTGACTTTGTCATCATCGGGGGGTGTATGATCGTTTTCGGCCTCATGTTCCTGGGTGTTGCATCTGTGTTCGTCATCAAACCTCTTTACTTGCAACGACGCGTCCAAGCCGTCATTGACGAGAAAGCTCGGGAAGACGCTGCTCTCGGGGTCGACGACTACGTCGGAGGTCAAGGCCTTTCGGTCAATGTCGCCGACGGCGCGAAACAGCGCCGCCCTAGCGCCGTAGACCTGTACTATGGGGACGGGGGTGTGGAGATACCTGTGAGGGGTCACCCCGACACCTTGCCCCGACCCCCTCCACCCCTCGTGGCCCTGCCAGGGAATGACAGACACAAACAACTGGTGCCAACCTTCCAGGCCCCTCTGCCCTCCGAACCCCAGAACAACGAGAACATTAGTCGTCAGTAGACACAGAATCCGCGCGGTCTATTAACGAAGCATGTTTATACTGAGGGGAAGAACTAAGGGAACGTCGAGAAAGGAAAGCGTGTGTTCGGTGTGGATTTGTGAATGTTCCTCGAAGAAAGTTCGGTAATATAATGAATACATGGGATAATATCATTTTTTCGAAATGAAACAGTTTTACTGAAAACGTCAAAATCGCTATTCTGCAACATGTTCTCTTATTTATTCCCACCAGTATTTAAATATGTATATAGCTTAATGTATGTATTATAGGATTGTGTTCATAGTATGTGGACCGCCTCGTGGTCTACTGGATAGAGCGCAACGGAAGGTCGGTGGTTCGATCCCAAGCTGCGTCATACCACAATCCGTAAAAGATGGTAAATGCTGTTACCCTGATAAAACAAGGTCTGGTCGGCTTGGAGTCAGCATACTTTCTCCGATTGGGGTATCCAATTTAAACTGCGGCACGGTATCTCAGTGGGCTAGCACTCTAAAACCGGCATTAGTCCGTACTAGTACAAGTAAGCAAACGCACGCACGCAGCACGCACGTCGCTATATAAGTGCAATACTCTTGAATGCGACGGTACACCCCACCTCACCCCATTGAGTGTACAACATGTGTGTACGCTTTACAGTGGGAGACTCCAACATGACGTTTGAGCCATATTTACCCTTTTGTTCGCGATCCCTTATATCTGGCGTTAAATAAAAATATGTGTTCAATCAACTACTTGCGATGTTTTAATTATACCCGGATATATACCTAGAGAATCCAGTGGGTGAGAATCGATATTGTTAGCAACGATCTGCGCCGTATGGGTACGAGGCCTGTCACGGAGCCTGACCACCCATTCACTAAGTCGCCTCTCACTACCAGCATCTGTTGCTGAGGACCAGTTCCATCCCGGAGTCCCCACGGAGACCAGATATCAAGTTGAAGTCCCCGGCATGGTCACCTGCTGAGACCCTGCTTGGTTTTATTAAATTTTGTAGTGATTGGTCATGATTGGTCATTTGTTCTAGAACGATATGATTAAAAAGACTTTGTCATGAGCGCTAACTATTATTAACCAGTTCAATTTTAGCTGTATTCGCCTTGACCTTAATATGACGTCTTTTTCCTAGATGAAATTAAAGCCTAAACAGACACACCCCAATGCATGTGAAATCATCTACAATACATGGCGTCAAGGAATAGAAAGAGTTTGTTATTTCGTGGTCGGCGTTTGCTGGAAGTCACTGTTACATACGTCGTCAAATGCATGCGCCTTATAGCGCGCGTTGTTGCCGTGCGTGTTGTTATTACTGCTGAGTCATGTTTATGTTTCCACAAACAACCTGCAACATCCCCGGTGGCTTAAACATATTATTTTGCAATAAAAAATAATTACAAAATTCTCAGGACTTCTCTTATCTCTACACTATTATTTTGAAACAGGATGTTGGGCGATTCATATGACGATCGTTTACACGATACGCTCATCCCACCACCACCCCACCCCCATCCTACACTCACCCCACCACCATCTTACCACCACCCCACCCCCATCCTACGCTCACCCCAGCACCTCCCCGCTCTCTTCCTACACTCATCACTTTTCAACTCCAGCTCTGTGACATTAGGAGACGCGAGGGTTCGCTGAATATGCGTATATTCCCTCGCATAATTATTTTTATTTAATCTTATTATAAGTTTACTTCGGGTATTAAAAGACTTGAAGGTTCCCTTAATACGCGTGTGCTCCCTTTCAGAATTATTTTATTTAACATTCTAGATATCAGACTACACCTTTTTTCGGGGACAAAGAGAGCCTTTTTTCCGTATGTTCCTTTTCAGATTTATTTTTTATTTAACCTTACACATAACTCTTTTTCGGAGACTGTAAGTTATTCTAGGTTTCAGCATCCACATCAGTTGCAGGAGGCAACGGAGTTACCAAGGTGACGGCGAAACAACCATTGTTTCTCAACAATGTTTACATGCGGAGTCTCAACCCATTGAGATCGATAATGTATAACGACGCTTGCACCATAAATACATGAACATGCGCGTTCAAAAACCACTTCCCCTGTAGTCGATGTTTTCAACTGGGTAAAATTTGTTCTGTGTGCTAGGTACTGAAGAGGATGAATAAACGAGAATCCTCTGATCTTAAATATATCAAGTGAGCGATAGGTGTTTACACTTCGTTACCAAACTCACTGAAATGACGTTATCACATGTAGAATCTAGACAATGACGTTTTTCACAGGTAGGCCGCGAATAGCTGGAAAATTGAAGATGCGGCGAAAAATAATATTCATTCATTCATTTTCACAGGTAGATTCGAGACAATGACGTTTTTACAGGTAGTATCTCGGCAATGACGTTGTAATGTATAGGATCTAGACAATGACGTTATGGGTAGAATCTAGACAATGACATTTTTACAGGTAGAATCTCGGCAATGACGTTGTAATGTATAGGATCTAGACAATGACGTTATGGGTAGAATCTAGACAATGACTTTTTACAGGTAGAATCTAGACAATGACGTTGTCACAGATCTAGTTTTTGACGTTGTTTTAGGTTGAATGTAAACGCTGTAACAGGTCAAGTTTTTGAATGACGCTGTTTGAGACAAACTAGACATGGGTCTTTCATAGGTAGAAACTAATCAAAGACATTGTGTAATAGGTAGAATCTGGACAAGCAGGGATGGTTTTACTGGTGGGACATACTCAATGACGGTTTCACAAGGGAAACCACAAGGAAACATTATCCATTTGAAGACCTCTTGGAAGTGACAAACTTGAACAAAAACAAAGATGAAAAACATTCAAAAGGATTATGCTTAGACAATGTTTTAAGCATTGTGCAAATATTCACATACTTCTTTGGAATTGAGACATGTTGGCATATACACATGGGTACACTACCTCCTATATGTGGGGTTATCTCGCAAAACTTCTAACTGCCAAAACGTCAACACTTTGTTAAAACAACACGGGGCTTTACCTTCTGTTGTAATGGAACAGCCCAAGAGGATTAATTAGTAGAAGGACAACAGGGGCTAGTTATATCTACAATTGAGGGATTATATCTGCATGTAAGTCAGAGAAATATATAGAGAGAACACGAGTTTGAGAAGGGCATAGATGTAAAATAAGTTTGAGAAGGGCATAGATGTAAAATAAGTTGGAGAAGGGCATAGATGTAAAATATGTTGGAGAAGGGCATAGATGTAAAATAAGTTGGAGAAGGGCATAGATGTAAAATAAGTTGGAGAAGGGCATAGATGTAAAATAAGTTGGAGAAGGGCATAGATGTAAAATAAGTTGGAGAAGGGCATAGATGTAAAATATGTTGGAGAAGGGCATAGATGTAAAATAAGTTGGAGAAGGGCATAGATGTAAAATAAGTTGGAGAGGGGCATAGATGTAAAATAAGCTGGAGAAGGGCATAGATGTAAAATAAGTTGGAGAAGGGCATAGATGTAAAATAAGTTGGAGAGGGGCATAGATGTAAAATAAGTTGGAGAAGGGCATAGATGTAAAATAAGTTGGAGAAGGGCATAGATGTAAAATAAGTTGGAGAAGGGCATAGATGTAAAATAAGTTGGAGAAGGGCATAGATGTAAAATATGTTGGAGAAGGGCATAGATGTAAAATAAGTTGGAGAAGGGCATAGATGTAAAATAAGTTGGAGAGGGGCATAGATGTAAAATAAGCTGGAGAAGGGCATAGATGTAAAATAAGTTGGAGAAGGGCATAGATGTAAAATAAGTTGGAGAGGGGCATAGATGTAAAATAAGCTGGAGAAGGGCATAGATGTAAAATAAGTTGGAGAAGGGCATAGATGTAAAATAAGTTGGAGAGGGGCATAGATGTAAAATAAGTTGGAGAAGGATAAAGATACAAACTGAGGTGGAGAAGGGTATAAAGGATATAATTTTGAGATAAAATAGGATTACAAGTACAGGTATATAATCTTTAACGCATTCAGCACGTATATAAACAAAGCAGCCAAGGATAAAAATGAAATTATATCAATATTCGAAAATAGAAATCATATCAATACAAAAACAGAAATTATGTGAATACCTAACTCACAATAGATATGTATACCCTACTCACTCACGAGTCCCAAAGAGGGACAGGTCAGCCGAAATCGCTTAGGCAGAAGGCGACCTCTTAAACACTAAAAGCAACAACAACAACAGCATGGTTTATCACAATAGCTGGTTTAAGGAAGGTGGGATTTGTCATGTTACAAAAGGAGACCTCTCAATCGCTGCTTGATGGTTAAAGAATATTGCCAAAAAGACTCGCTGTCACTGGAGGTGTGGCAAGTCTGTAAAGGAAGATGTACCACTGCAGGCGATTTTCTCAGAAATGTCACTGAACAGTCCCACCCTCCAGAGGACAGCAACAAACTCTGTTTTCCAGCACCATCGGGAAGAGCCTGCGATGACACCACTCAGATGTATGGTCTGTACTATCATGGTCACACAAACATCTTCAGATTTGTTGAGGTCATTAAGTGGGACCGCCTCCGTGGTCTAGTGATAGAGCGTCCGCCCGGAGAGCGGAAGGTCCGGGGTTCGATCCCCGACCGCGTCATACCAAAAGACGTTAAAAGATGGTATTTGTTGTTACCCTGTCTGGCGCTCGGCATTAAGGGGCTAAAACAAGGGCTCGGAGTCAGTATACTGTGTCTGAGTGGGGTACTCATGTTAAACTGCGGCATGTTATCTCAGTGAGCTAGCACTATTTATCGGCAAGCAGCCACACACACACACACACACACGTGCATGCACGTCGCTCTATAAGTGCAATAATCTTGGACGCGACGTTAAACCCCATTTCACCTCACCCCACCTCATTAAGTGGATTGCAGCAGCAGACAAGGCAAAGATGGCACAGATTGACTTTGGAGCGGCCCTATCCAGCAGGAAACGAGTTTACGGAGATGCTGACAACAGGCGTGTTCGTCTCCGGCACCAGGTCAGATAAGGACCGAAGACACCTATGAAGTTCTTGGATGTTGTTTGCCGACATGAACCTCTTGGCTAAGCTCTTGAAATTGAGCTTAACGAGATTTTACTATTCTATGTGGTACTTTCTTGTGCTATGACTATTGAGCAAAACAGTGTTTGCATTTTAATGCGCTGTGAATAAGTGCATTTTTTACATACAGTAAACTACGGTTATAACGAACTGACGGATATAATGAACTTACTTTTTGGTCCCGACTACTTGCTGTATATGTACTTATAACGAACTACGGTTAAAACGAAGTAAAATTAGTAGTCCCTTTGAGTTCGTTATAACCGTAGTTTACTGCACATGTAAAACATGTAACAAAAGGCTGTGTAAACGAACTTTAATACACACTTTATACATTCTTATTGTTATTTCTTTCGGACTGTTTCCACTAATTGGTAATATGCAGTCACTGAGCCATGATAATTATTATTTTTGTTTTGATTAGTTTTGACATGAAGTTTTGTGAGGATACCATATTTGGTGGTATGGTTGGATGTGGAATCATACCACACAAGACATCTACCATCATCAACAACTTGCTGGCTAGGTTAGATTCACAGATGACATCTACCATCATCAACAACTTGCTGGCTAGGTTAGACTCACAGATGACATCTACCATCATCAACAACTTGTTGGTTAGGTTGGCCTCATTGATGACATCTACCATCAACAACAACTTGCTGGTTAGGTTGGCCTCATTGATGACATCTACCATCATCAACAACTTGTTGGCTGGGTTAGACACACAGATGACATCTACCATCATCAACAGCTTGCTGGTTAGGTTAGACTCACAGATGACATCTACCATCATCAACAACTTGCTGGTCAGGTTAGACTCACAGATGACATCTACCATCATCAACAACTTGTTTGTTAGGTTAGACTCACATATGACATCTACCATCATCAACAACTTGCTGGTTAGGTTAGATTCACAGATGACATCTACCATCATCAACTTGCTGGCTGGCTTAGACTCACAGATGACATCTACCATCATCACCAACTTGCTGGTTAGGTTAGACTCACAGATGACATCTACAATCATCACCAACTTGCTGGTTAGGTTAGACTCACAGATGACATCTACCATCATCACCAACTTGCTGGTTAGGTTAGACTCACAGATGACATCTACAATCATCACCAACTTGCTGGTTAGGTTAGACTCACAGATGACATCTACCATCATCAGCAACTTGCTGGTTAGGTTAGACTCACAGATGAGATCTACCATTAACAGCTTGTGCCCCATGATAATGAAATAAATGTGACAATGTAGCTGCAAAACTTTCTTTCAGTACTACAAATATAAAGAAAATACATGTTTGTCTTGAGCCTGTTTTATTGCTCTCTGTTATACATGGTACAAATACATATCTCACGGAACCAATATGTACAAATAATTATATTCTCATCTTTGTAAAACACTCACATGCAAATGGGAAAGGTTTTGATTGTAACTGTACTTTCATAGTAAATGTGACGATAACAAAATGTATATCTTTCTTGTGTATGTACAGACATCCAGAATATAGTTCAGTGAGCAAATGTAAAGTGAGAAGAGAATTAAGCAAGACTTTGTACAATCCTGACAGCATAAGAGGGTAGGACCTCAGTGATTCTGTAGCATTGGCAACATGATGCACTGTCAATGTGGCAAGTTAAGGACTGACTGTACATAACCTTCAATAATATCAAAGAAATTAAGCAAAGTTTGGTTTTGATCTCATGAATATTTTTAGTGGTAGGCATGAGCAAGTACACGCAATGAACAGAGTACACTGTCTGGACGCCAACCCTACACGTGTACATCTGAGAAGGGTGAGTGAGTGAGTATGGGTTTATGCCTCTTTAAGCAATATTCCAGCAATATCACGTATGAAATGGGCTTCACACATTGTATTCATGTCAGGAATCGAACCCGGGTCTTCGGCGTGACGAGCGAATGCTTTAACCACTAGGCTACCCGACCGCCCTCATCTGAGAAGGGCTATACATTTGGAAGAATGTTATGAACTTTGCTTTGCTTAACTTTTTTACTTGATTTTTAAGTGTTTTCATTCAAAAGAAAATATTAGGTTGTACTTTTGAATAAAGCATTTGTTACTGAATATAGTTCAGTGAGCAAATGGCGTTCAATATTTACTGAATATGAACAGTTAAAAAACTACTAATTCATATTTAGTTCCAATCAGTTCCCTCAAAGTATAACACACCCACATCCCAGTGCATCAGAAGCCAGGTTAGGGCAGATTTAAAGAAATACTGTGAAAACATGATAGAAACAATTAGATATCTGAAAATACAGTTAACTGTTCAGGACAACGAAGATAGATCAGGTCAGAGTTGCCATTGCAGTGGCCTGTTGCTGTTTGAGCCACCAAACTGGTTAATACAGGTCTGTGTTGACAATACAGTTGCCATCTGGTGTCCAAGATATGTTACCAAGGTTACAACAGGTTAGGGTTGAGAATGCAGCGGTCAGCTGGTTCCGAGGCATATTACCATGGTTACCAAAGGTCAGAGTTCACACAGGGAAACCACATCTTATCAAACCAACAATTACAAACAATTTGAGCAGTTACCTATACATCTGTACAAAAACATAAATCCAAAATAGGAAAATAACTTTATATGAGAATCCAAACAAGGCATATTCCTGATTTAGTTAACACACGGGTCAAGGTCATTGTTCATAATAAGTTACCTCAACGGATAACGTCCTTGGATGTGAAGTATAAAAGTTACTTGATTTCAAAGATTGAAATTTCATTCAAAATCAAGCTAAAGGAAGAACTTTTTGATGATCAATTTTGAATGCTCAATATCAAAGCATATTAAAAATCATTTAAATTTGTCAATTCAATTCACTGAAAAGAACTAAAAAACATTGGCACTTACTCAAAGTTTAACTCATAACTTTGAAAAATACTGGCAATATTCACTTTATACACTGCATGATATAATATCTCCCGTAATATCAAACTGAATCTTTTTCAGATTACATTCGTATATCCAATGACCAAATAAATCTATAATATATTAATTTACCTTATCTGACAGATATTCCTTCATGATGAATCATTATTACATAATCATCTTCAGGACATATTTTATCAACAGTTCATCTCCTACAGTCACGTAAGGCCAAGATTGGTGAAGGATACATTAAATATCATGAGCAGATAAAACCAAGCTGGTTCATGTCACATGTGGTCAAAGGGAGCTAACTCATACTGACACATCCTTGCTTGTTGAGGAAAAGCTTTGCAGTTAGTAACAGCACTTCAATGTAGGAAGACAGGAAAATAAATAGGAAAGGTGAAAACTGTTTGTAAAAGGGAAAAGAATTTAACATCAGCAGTTTGATGAATATGTCCTCTTCAATGGATGTCACTGTGAATGAATTATGTATCTAGTCTTAACAAGGAGTCATTAATCATAATCACAGACTACTTTACTTTACAATGACTAATGTTCTCAGATCACAAATCAAATTTCTCAAGATTAAAATGAAACTTTCACTTTGTACTTGATGATTAATTCATAGGGCAAAATACAGTGAACGTTTCGCCGACACACATGTATTCATTAAACTATGTCCAAGCTTTACAATTATGAGGACTTTTGGCTGTTCCTATAAATCACTGAACAGAGAAGAAAGGGAAGTAGAAACTTCAAAAGTCCTTTGGATCCAAATAAATACACAAGTCAAGCACAAACTGATTAATCAAGTCAGGAAATCAACAGGGTTCAGCATTGTCTAATACAAGACCAAAAGTGAGATTCAAATACAATGAAAAAGAAGCACCAGTTAAACAAAGTCTTCAAGAAAGGCTGTAGAAGCAATGCATCACTGCAGATGAACAGGGTGTGTATCAGCGAACTTACTCTGTGTTTAATGCTACTGGTACTTGAACAGTTCAATCGATTCCAACAAAGTGTTACCAGTCACACAATCAACCAACAGTCATTAATATCTTATTGTATGGTACTGACCAGTTTTTTTGTTACAATTCATAAAAGAAATATTCAAAAGAAAATACACAGCTAGAATGAGATGATGCATTTACGATACATTTGATAAAGCTTGCAATTAAAAAACATCTGGCAACCAAAATTCAATGATTCACAAAAAGCAAAATATATTAACCATAAGGTAAAAGAAAAGTAATATCAGGTCTGAGAGCCTAGGCCTGGTTTCACAAAGCTGCTGTTGAGCTACACCTTCCCAAGTTCCCATAGCTGAACATGGACGTGGAGAGCCATAGCACTACAGTCACTTTCTGGAACAGGGCGCTGGAGTAGGAGAACAACACACTGTAGGAGAGCATCTTACTCTCACTTCCAGATAGCAACACTCTTGCACCTAGAGGGGGGCACGGGTGGCCCAGTCGTCTAAGGCGCCGCGATTCGCTGTGCAGAGTTGCGTCCCTTGGGCACGCCAGAAACCTATGATTGTGGGTTCGAATCCCGGTTCGCCCCGATTATGTTTCTAGGTTTGTCAGCACCATACCCGTGCTCGTGGGTTTCACCGAAGTGGTAAATGTCTGAGACCTGCATCACTTCGGGCTTTCCTCCCACATTAAGCTGACACGCCGCGATATAACTGGAATCCTGTTAAAAGCGGCGTTAAACCCAACTCACTCACTCACTCACTTGCACCTACATGTGTACCATCCAGCTTCTACAGCTGCCTGAGAGCAGCTTGCTTTTATATTGTAGCCTAATTAAACAAAATATTCTGACAATTTTCGGGAATCAAACCACGTTACGGGGCAGTTACACATCTGTTGAGCAGTTTTGGAGGTGTCCATCTTGAGTAAGTGAAGACCACTTCAACGTAATGTCTTCAATAGAATACATTTCATCAAGGCTGTTGCAAAATCAAGACTGCACTTCCAAGTTTTTGAGTAAGCATCACATTTAGATTTTTGGTAATACACTGGTTTTAAATGAATATCCAAATAATCATTTAACAATAATAATCATCTGATATCATTAAACACTGATGATAATGTATTTTTAAAAAAACTAAAATATTTTAAGAAATAATAGACTAATTTCAATCCTGATCCATCAATTCAGAACGATGTTATTTGTAATGACAATAAGATGTCAACTTCTAATTCAGCATGTTACTTACAGAGAGCCTGCACAGACTTGTTTCTGCTTTTAGCACCACCCTCAACAAACTCCTTCAATACTATACAACCAATATCTCACAGTTTCAAATATTGCCACTAACAAGCTTAACACAACCTCAAGAAATGAAGCGTTTCAGGTGCAAATTAACATAACACAATAAAAATGACTATTAAATATGAAATTGTACTCAGAACGAAAGAAGTTTACTTCTCCCGAAATCCCCTGTTTCATAAAACTCTCTTAGCACTATGACAGTGGTAGCTCTCATACTTCAAAATACCCGGTAAGCTAATAGTCATGGAGTCCATGGTTCTTTAAGGCAACAGGTGTATCTTGAATTGTGTATCGGTACGTACTGCATGTGGGCAGTCTTGGTCAATTTGTTTTGTTTGTTTTTCTAGATGATAATACCCTGACAAGCCAAATCCAATGATTGAAATACTGATGAAGCAGTTCGAGTTGTAGAAAACTGATGTACACTATCATCGTCCACAATGGGATTCAGAAAATAGTACCTTATCTCATCAAGATAGACATTTTCAAAAACCCATAAACCCTTTGAAAACAAAGACTATCTTACTTGTTTTTATGTAATGATGACTTTTCTTTACTAACAGTGCCAATACAAGTAGATCCTTCAGAAATATGCTGCTGACGAGATATACATCTGGAAGCCTTATCATTTACAAAATTTCTCTTTGACAAATTGCAAAGAAATATTAATTCAATAAGCATAAGGTGAAAATACTGACAAACAAAATCTACTATTGAGCAGGGAGTCCTCCATGATCTTATGAAGCAAAGCTAAAATAATCAATCTTTATGGTTCTCAAGCAAGAGCAAACTCACCCAAGAAAGCATACAATTTCTGCTGTTGATTGATAAATAATAATCTGGTCTCAAAGTAACTCTTGTCATCTTCTAAAAATATTCTGCAGTCTGCACCAATTTCTAAATGGTCGAGCCTTGCTTGAGAACCAATCATTTTCATTTTTCTAGCCTCATCTTTGGTTCGTGTAAGTTAAATCATCTGGAGATCTTGTCATAGTTTCATCATAAATATTCTTACTACCACCACATTTGAATTGTGTTCCAACAGGTCTATGCAGTAAGCAAATTTAGGTCTAAACATAGATATTTTACTACTTCAGCAACTGACTTTAGCCCTTTCCTAAAACTGATAGTAGTCACTGACCATCCAAACACAGTGGGAATACTGTCAGTGGACAATTACAGTCATTATCTAAACATAATGCTCATCTTGAAGTCAACCCCAGGTTTCAACCTGGTCAAAAGGTCTGTTTCAACAATGTTAAGGATTCAAAATCACCCCAACTACTTTCAGTCAGTCAGCCAAAAGTGCCCTAAACCTATCTGGGTGCTGCTGTACAAAGCGATCTTTGCGCTAAGATGATCGTAACTCCCATACTTGAACATAGACTTACAATAGTCGTAGCGCTGATGTTGTTTTGTAACCTGGTGCAAAACGGAAGAGGTTTCATGTTGTTAGAATCCCAAGCTGAAATATAGTTTTCTCACTAACATAAAAATACTTGGTAACAGCTAAACAGCTAGTTACCTCCCTTTAGTCCACAGACAGTGAAATTGAACATATGTTGTCATAAGCAGGAGAAATATCATTTTGTTTGTTTGTTGTTTATCGCCGCACTCAGCAATATTCCAGCTATATGACGGCAGTCTGTGACATAATCGAGTCTGGACCAGACAATCCAGTGATTGACATCATGAGAATCAATCCACGAAATTGGGATCGATGACATGTATCAACCAAGTCAGTGAGACTGACCACCCGATCCCGTTAGTCACCTTTTACGACAAGCATAGTCGCCTTTTACATCAAGTATGGGTTGCTGAAGACCTATTCTACCCAAGAATCTTCACGGGCCAGGAAAAATATCATCTGGACTAAATACACTAACAGGTTTACCCTATTCATGTGTTCAGCAATGCCTGAATAAATTCTGCTGAACTGCTGGGATCTGAGGGTCAAAATGATTAACAGATAGACCCAGTTGGTTCCATATCAGTGGAACTTTTGCAAAAGATTGTCATCTTTGAATAGTCGTTTTCCTCACATCAACACAAAAAAAATGGAACTTTACACATGATTATAATCTATTCCTATAGCACTTGATTATCGAGGTAGGTTATTACCAAGGTTTTGTTATTCCCAATTCTTCATAGTCCTTATGAGCATGTGGTTCAATTCAGTTTATTGATGTTCTGTCCCTTCGAACATATTACATTCACATACAAAACTGTACAAAAAAAATAGTGAAAATAAGCAAACAAAAATCACAGCTGTAGCACGAACATGGATGAAATAAATTGGCTTGCAAGCGCTGATGCATAACGAAGCTCAGCTGGCTTGAAATGATGCAAATGAAAACAGTCATATGACAACAACGATGAGACAGCAATGAGGTGAAGGTCATCAGGGGAATGAACTCTTGAATGAAATGACGACACAGAAAGAACAGGGTTCAGTGCTAGCTGATGCAACAGCTCTTTCGGCAGTTCATTGGTGGAGAGTCACAAGGGTTTAAATATTTCACTTTTTTGTGTTTGTCTCTGTGCACAAAACTAAGCATCCGTGCCCTTGTCTTGTTCGTCAGTGCGTATGACTTCAGATGGGATTTCAATGCATGTGGGAGAGGAAGTTGTTCAATGCCATATATGGTAGTCCGAGAAACTATCGTCCTGCAGGCTAATTCTTGAAGACTCAAAACTGAAAACAAAGAAAATCATTATGTGAATTTACCTCTTTACATTCAGTAATATCAAGAAGTTTTAATAATTTCTAGAATCAGGAACAGATGTCCAAGTTTAGCTGTAAAATGTTTGCTAGTAATAGAATGGTGCTGGAACAAGGGAAATAACTCCATTAGGTATACCTGACATGCAAATCAGATAGAAATGAGAAATAATTTAGAAAATATCATTTCAGTATCAAAGACAGAATATTTATTAACAACTAAAAGATGAATACTATAACAATAGGAATCCCAAAGGATCTGAGAATGCAAACTGAATGTATATTAATATGTTCCAGATCAAAGTAATAATGCACTATGAGAATGTGTTGCCTGGAATTATCTCTATACAATTTACAAATGCTGTGTTTATCCAACATGACGTAAAATATCAATTTCTGCAATCTGAGCATGATGAGTTTTATCAGTTTCTGCAAACTGTCTGATATTCTTTGAGTATAAGGAACCTCTTTTACAGATCAAGATGTCTTCCTCAAAAAGAATTAAATCTTAATTAAAACCGTCACACAGCTGTCACTGTCCTCACCTTTATTGTGTCCCCATGCCCGACTCATGCCATTTCTTTTGAGAGCGAGTCGAGACAGTTCAGCGAATGACTCAGTTACATTGAAGTCACACAGTGGACTAACTTCAAAGAAAGCCATGTCATTCTTGATGGCATAAGCCTCTGCCGTAGCTTCACTGATCTGGCGTTTGAAGGCAAGATGAAGACGATTTCCGACCAGGATCTTGGGTACACCCGGTGCATGCTGCAATACCATGTAGGGGATTAGGGTGAATTCAACATGTTCAAGAACTAACAGTAACAGGTGAGCTGAAATGGGGTTTCATGTCGCGTTCAAGATTATTGCACTTACATATATAGGGACATGCATGCACATGTATTTGTGCTTGTACTATTGTGGGCATATGCAATTGTCCCTTGTTGTTTTTGGTACAGTAGATTTTAGTAATAAAACATATCGTCTTTCTGTGTCATGTCATCTGAGAGTACCAGACCAAACAAAATCTTAAAAGACTCGGGCTTTGGACAAAATTTGCAACAGCTGTAACGTGAGGTGAAATGGGGTTCAACTTGCAAGATTATTGCACTTATACGGCAGCTGCGTCCAAGATAATTGCACTTATACGGCGCCGTGCATGCATGCGTGCATGCGATGACATGCAATCAACAAAGTCACATATCCTGTCCACATGTTCCATTTACTTGTCTCATGATTATACTCTCCACTAGCGCCTATTATAACTTTGAAGACAGACTACTTTCAGGTCATAGATGACTTTTGGTGTCTGTCACCTAGTGTCTCTATTTCATCAGTTCAGCCACATAGACAGTTGGGGAAAGGAAGAATGGGCTCCATCCTTGTGGTTAAGTGAACCCTGGGTCTTCTGTACAATGAACTGATGCCTAAAACTCTAGGCCACCCAACCATCCCTAGCTCATCACACAACTGTAGACAGGCTGACTCTCACCACTCTTCCACGACTGACTTTCTGTAACAAGTATAGGCTACTGGGACACCCTGCTTCAGAATTCCTTCTCGGTATTATCGAAAACTGTATAACTATTATTATCATGATTATAGAGAGTCCCAATACGTGCCAAAAACTTTGAGTCCACAAGCCCGAACATCATTAACATGGCTTTTAGCATCATTTTCAGTGCATTTTAGTGCTATCGTAAGCACAATGTTAACTAGATGTTTTAAGATTTTATTTCAGTTATTTCATGTTATTTACAGAACGTTTCGAAAATTTCCTCTTACTGTTGAGACATTTGTTAGCTTTACGGACAAAAAATAGTACCGTTTTCTCTGCCAAAACTTCCGAAATAGCCCCAACATCCTGCAACCAAGTAGTTGTAATTCAACAGCAGCAGTTTTTACACTAATCTATTACCTCGTTAATTTCCTTGATCCATCTGTCAATGCCATCAAACGACCACCTGTTTGTTATGTCATACACCAGCAGAATTCCCTGGAAAAGAGAGAAGACATTTAGTGTTCAGTCAAAAAAAACAAATGTGGCTTAGCAGCTTGCTGTAACTTAATGAAAGTTTGGGAGTCTAGGTACTTGGTTCAAGGAATCAGAGTTACAGATATGGCATAGCAGCTTAGAAGACTAGCTCCAGTTCTAGCAATCAATATTTTTCTAAAAAGTGAACACGGCAGGTTTGTCAGGTTAGCCATGAATTTCTAGCAATCAGAGTAAAGTAAACTGTGAACATGGCACTGTAGGTTCCAGGACTAGCTATTAGGGTCTAGCAATCACAGTTCAGTAAACTGTGAACACTCTAGGTTCCGTGACTAGCCCTTAGTGTCTAAAATCAGAGTTCTGTAAACTGTGAACACTGTAGGTTCCAGGACTAGCTATTAGGGTCTAGCAATCACAGTTCAGTAAACTGTGAACACTGTAGGATTCCGTGACTAGCCCTTAGCGTCTAAAATATGAGTTCTGTAAACTGTGAACACTGTGGGTTCCAGGACTAGCCCTTTAACAAAGGGCAGGATCTAGGATTCAACACTTGCTACTAACTGAAGCGGTTTCTTCACAAACATGATGAATGACTATGTGTCAGCAAGGGTTTGTAAAAAAACACTTTCAATGGTATTCTGTTACCAACTACAACTACTAAGATGACATTCCTTACTCAAAGCATGTCAAGTCCATCCCTAAACATCCACAACATACAAATCACTGGTATCTAATTACCTAAAATCTAAGACATTCATCACAAAGACATTCCCAGTTCTATTTACACAGAATCGCCTTATGCATCACTTAATCAATTCTAAAGCTTGAGTGTCATGTCATCTTCTCTAAAAGCAGCTTTCAAGATCCTATTCAGACTGTTGCTGAGGAAACAGCATTTCTTAGCATCAAGGAAAAAACTACCGCCATTGAAGGACATGAAAAAAAGAATAGCTTTCAAGGTATTTATTTACCTATTAAGAGTATTGGAAGAGTTTCAACTAAAAGTCCTCAAGAATCCTAACATACAAGACTTAACTTTATTTTATTTTCAAGGAGAAGGATGGTGTTGCCATGACATTCATGTTATGGAACCGTCGTGGTATTAGTCTCAGTGACCACCTACCCACCTACTGGCTGGCCTCATCCAGACATGCAAATAGCACTTCTCAAAACTCCTTCGTTGTTATTCATAACCTATCATAGCCGAGGTAGGTTGCATGTCAAGTGACAATCTGTATGTAACACCAAGCATGATCAATATTTATTGCCGGACGTCGGTGGATTTCTGTTACAGCACAATAAGAGTGGGTTTAAGAGTGGCAAGAGAAACCTGTAATCAGTGTTAATTTCGTAGAGGTCTGCATTGCATCATTGCAGATAATTCTTTGTGATTGTGAGTCATGTGAAGCTAAATGTAAGGACTAATGGGTAATATTTCATTTCCAGCAGCATGAATGTTGTGGCATGTTTAATGTATAGAGGAGAGTAAGCTGTAAATACAGTATAGCCATAGCATGAATAAATGAACGCTGTTTTATGGTACGAGGCCGAATCCCTGGCACCACTGCGTCATAGGTTGCGCCCTTCAATCACATACCAACTTCCTGTATGCCAAGTGTCCAGTAGTGAAAAAGTGAGTATGGTTTTATGCCGCTTTTAGCAATATCCCAGCCATATCATAGCGGAGAACATCAGAAACAGACTTCACAAACTGTACCCAGCTCCAAGACTGATAATCGACCCCAAATCTGCAGCAATTTTTAGTAAATATTTCCATCTGAGATTTAAAAATTCTATGTAAATACAGTTACAGCTAATAATGGCTTGGTCGAGGTGTCTTGTATTCCACTAATAACAAGACCACAAAAGAAGAAGAGGTTTAGTTTGACATTACTGTTCTGAATGCAATGCTAAAATGAAATTAAGAACTATAAAAAATCCCAATTTTAAACAAAATAACTTCTGTTTATCTAACTTGCCTGCCCAAGACATTGAAAACCTGTATCATTAACTAAGCTAACTGTTGATATAAAATACCAAGGAGGATGTATCAGATATTAGAGTGACATTCATACATTAACATGTAAAGCAATGTACATGATGGGTGAATGAAACCTGTTTATTTCTACTGATCATAAGTGCTTGTAAGTCATGATGACCCGCTGATTTTAGAAGCAAGGACGACCTTATCAAGCCTGACTCAACATACACGCTTGTCACAAGATTTACAAAATCAGCTGTCACATTTTCTATGCAAGGCAAAATGATCAGGTACATCCCCGTCATTATCCAACCTACACATGCATGAAAATAAATTTTCTATTCACTGTAGTATCTGCAAGAGTAGTCAGGTTGATGTTCTACACCAATTCTTAGTAATTATTAAAGTGGTACATGTACTTCTCAAGGAAATGTCATAATTAGTCTTTCCTGAATTTTACAATTCTCGGACTAGCGGACGAGCGAACTTATGTGAACTATACTATGTGAACACAAGCCGACACTGGGAATTCTTCAGTAGGTCCTGCTCACCTGATGATTCAAGCCACCACAAATGAATCAAGTAAGGCTGCTTTAAGAAACAGCGTGGTCACAGTGATCAAAGGTCCAAATTGAATCAAGTTCTCTTTTCCATGGCTCCGATTGCAATCTAATCCCTTCACGGCTGTTTGACATGAACACCAGATCACAAACATTGCGTTGGCCATGTGGGATGGAGTCAGAAGAAGACTTGCCCTGTCAACTAACCTTATCTACAAAGCTATCATAGAATAAAAAATCTTGGTTGAAGTATGGGAGTTACAATCAGCCTTGCAAAAAGATCACACTGTGGAACCGGCCCATGTTCCACATGTTCAGTGAAGGCTAGAAAAGCTTGTGACCAAGTGGGACATATCCATCCACCCAGATATACCCTACAGTATGCTGAGAATCTCAAATAATATATTATTCTGAGGGTCAACGGCATAGCTTCCTGGAAGTCAGAAGCAATGAATGTTGACAAAAAGCTCCCACCCCCACCGAAATCAAAATCAAATAGTCCTTGTCATGAAAATCAAAAATGTAGGAGTGCCCAGATTCAAATACTATATTTGTAAACCTCAAAAGCTCCCCTAGGACCCCTTTGATTTCAACCAAGTGGAGACCCAGGTTTAAGCATGTGTCCTCAGCACCACACTGCTAGTCATAAGGGGAACCCGCAAGGTTTTGGGGATAATATCAGCTAGTGGATATTAAAGGCGACTGACTGCATCAGGTGGTCAGGCGCAGTGACTTGGTTGATAAAGGGCTCACAATATCAATCATTGGATTGTCTGACCCAGACTTGATTACATACAGTGAGTGAGTGAGTGAGTGAGTTTGGTTTAACGTCGCTTTTAACAGTATTCCAGTTATATTGCGGCGTGTCAGCTTAATGTGGGAGGAAAGCCCGAAGTGATGCAGGTCTGCAGGCGTTTACCACTTCGGTGAAACCCACAAGCAAAGGTATGGTGCTGACAAACCTAGATACATAATCGGGGCGAACCGGTATTCGAACCCACTATCATAGGTTTATGGCGTGCCCAAAGGAGGCAACTCTGCAACTCTGCACAGCGAATCGCGGCGCCTTAGATGACTGGGCCACCCGTGCCCACTGATTACATACAGGCCGTCCTGACAGCGATAGTAACTAACATCTTAGTCCATTTATCAAGTCCTTATTATGAAAACATAATGCAAAGCCTGTTAAACTGACAAATTTCTACTAGTCCTTATGATACCTTAACTATTGAGCAGTTTGGGAAGGACTACAGGACTAGTGCCAATTTCAAACGCTGTCTTGGTATAACTGAAATATTGCTGTGGGTGACATTAAGTAAGAAACACACTTGATTTCAAACACTGCCTGAGAGTTTCAACTCCTTAAGCTCCTAAGCATATAAGCTCAGGAATACATAAATGGCATAAGCAAGACTAAACACTGCAACAGACATTCGCTTCCTAACATAATGAATTATGGAATGTCTTATAGCAAATCAGTTTATATCAAAGGTCATTCTGTCAGAAAATAAATCACTGTTGCAATGATAATCTGATAATCAAACAAACACAGGAATTAACGTAATTCAGGTAAATTACACATGGCTATAATGTGATTATGTGCTGTGTTCTGTATTTATTCCGCCAATATGACTCAGCATGTGCCAGGACTTACACATTCTTTTCCTACTTCCATAGACATTTGTTCTCATTCAAATCTGCCAGTTACTGATAAACACTGAACTCAAAAAATGAACGAAAAGCAATGTCTCTTTATTCACAAAGAATCTTTCATTTGTTTACTCATTAAAGAAGATGATGTACTTAACAAGGAACAAAAAATAGACAAAACTTGTATCAGCTACCAGAATAACATTTCATACATCACTTCAAACAAGGGATGTCATTGTATGTTGCGATGTCTTTGTATGGTGATCGACAGAAAATAATGTTTTCAATACAAATTTAACAAGTATTTGTCACAGAAGTGACGAAATGTCCCCCGCCTGTATATACACCATAGTACCAAATATGAAGACAATCCAGCGATTACTTCTTGAGATATCGCGGCAACACCGTTTTCCAACTCCAAAAGCAGATTTACCTGCTGTGACCTTGAAAATGGGGTCAAGGTCACCAAAACCGACTGGTGTCTGCGGAGTCTGTATATACACCATAGTTCCAAATATGAAAACAATCCAGTGTTTAGTTCTTGAGATATCGCGGCAACACCGTTTTCAAACTCCAAAAGCAGATTTGCCTGCTGTGACCTTGAAAATGGGGTCAAGGTCACCAAAACCGACTGGTGTCTGCGGTGTCTGTATATACACCATAGTTCCAAACATGAAGACAATCCAGTGTTTAGTTCTTGAGATATCGCGGCAACAAACAGGTGGGACGTACGGACGGACGTACGTACGGACGGTCGTGAATACTATATCCCCCGCTTCGCGCTTTCGCGCGGCGGGGGATAATAATTGAAA